GGATGATCGCAACACGTTGTGTTGAAATGGTCAAGCACCCTCGAGGCAGCGACACAGTGCTTACAAATGTCTCTGGAAGTGAAAGCACCAGAAAATAAATCAAGTCATACGCAGCTGTCATCCGTACGCAAGGAAGTAAGCACAAGATGCCAAAAACCCTTAGCAGGATGCAGCGCACCCTTCATGCGACTTGCCGAATATCTCACGGCGCTTCGCGCTTGGTGATGTGAGAGCCTGGTCCGGTGAGAACCCGGCGTGCTCCGNCCCCCCCCCCACGTCCCGGCCTACATAGATGCGACTTCTAGCAGTACAAATCGAAACACGACATATATCATACATGATCGTGAGACTGACCCCCCTTCAGTTCCGTTCCCCGTGCGTGCGTGTCCCTCCCACTCACCCTGAGGTTGAGGTCCATGCCGGCCCGGCCGACGGCGTATAGCTTGTGGCATTCCGTCGCGGTCTGGTTGCCGACGTCCTTGTCGAAGATGCCGATCAACAAGATGGGCATCGCCAGAAAGAAGTTGAACCCCGAGTACACCAGCGACTCGAACAGAGACTTGAGCACGTTTGCGGTGGTAGGAAAAAGTCAAAGAGTGAGACGCCGGGGGGGAACATCAATACCACACGACCCCTTCAACTTCAATCACGTACTGCTGTAGCAGGTGTTTTATAGCGACTTTGCTATAATACTGCGCCGCTCGGATCCGAAACCGCTTGAGAAAGTGGGAGCTCTAGCAGGGCTTGAGCAGCGACTGCGGCAGAGCCGTGTGGTATCATTCCGTGGTCGATGGGGACGGAATCCCGTGAAGCGATGCGTACCGTATAAAGTACTACATCGAGCATTTCCACAAAAAGCCAAGCATAGCATCTCGCGATGTATTAAGACGGAGATAGAAACCAGACAGGAGCAAACGCCGATATTCTTCAAAGGAAAACAACAACAAGATAAAAAATAAACACACGAACAGTTTTCTCCTCTTGCTGCTGTTCCTGTCGTTGATCCGAAGGATAGTTTAGCCTCCCCCATGCTGCCCCCTCATGGGGTCCCAGTTCATGGCAGATAGAAGTGTTTTGTGTTTTCAACCGCACTGAGACTCACGTCTTTTCATTGGTCAGCAGGTTAGCGCGGTCGATGTTAATGATAAAAATAACACACACACGCAGCTTCATAGCAAACAAGCAAGAGCAACCAGACAACACACGGGAAATCCATCCGGAGGGGGCTCGAAGTCCGAGCAGTGCGAGACAACAACCGACAGCGGTGTCGGCAAAAGAAGGCAGGAATTCCTACACCAGAGAAAAACAGAAGACCCCACCACTCACAGCAGACACGAGCGGGCCTCCTGCTACGGCACGGGACCCACCCACACCGTACTTCATACTATTGATCTATTACTCCTTGTCATTGCCTGAATGTTGTAACCATCCATACTTCTCCATCGACGGCCAGGACAGAATAAACTAACCTGGCCGCTGAACCCGGTGTAGAAGCAGAAGTAGAAGAGGCAGAACGTCAGCACGAAGTTTTTGTAGAAGCTGTACAGGATCACCTGCACAAGTCGAGAGGGTGACACATCGGCAAGGGTCAATGTTATCATAATGTTCTGCAAGAGTCTCCTCATGTGCTCAGCGTGAGCGTCGCCGTGGGCATGTTGCAAACGTGGAATTAATCTGTACGGTTGTAGGTCGTCTTCGTACAGAACGAGCTTGACCGTCACCTTCTTCAGCCCCACCTTGCCCCCGAAGACACTATAATACAAACACGATCTTTGGCACAATGGCGTGACCAATATTTGGAGAGAAAATCGTCCCCTACATGAACAGACCGACGCATGTAGCACATCGAGAGACTAGAAGTCCTACAATCCCGCATCAACAAACCTTGCACACGCGGCGGTAGTCCCAGTGGCCGTGCACCAGCATGAGCCTCTTCAGGAATCGGAACTGCGCGATGGCGAAGTCCGAGTTGTTCACCGCCTGTCGACCCTCCTTGCCGCTGATGCCTACCCCAATCTGCGGGATAACCGCAGCGCGCGTGTGTGTTTTTATTATTAGCATCGACCGCGCTAACCGGGTGACCAATGAAAAGACATCAGTCTCAGTGCGGGTGAAAACAAAGAACACTTCCAAATGCCATTAACTAGGATCCCATAAGGGGGCGGCATGGGGGAGACTTACCCATTCTCCGGAACGAAGACAGACACGGTAGCAACAGGAGAAAACTGCACACGTCTACGACGGCTGCTACCTTGCACTCGAGTCCGTTTTGGAGTGCTTTCACCGCCATCCTCCTTCCTTCCAACTCCATCGTTCTCATGGTCATTTTCATAGCAACTTCTCGATATTTCCTCTCTGGCCCTGCGTCATTCGTGGTGGTGTATACGTGTGTATATGTGTGTGTTTTTTATTATTAGCATCGACCGCGCTAACCGGCTGACCAATGAAGACGCCAGTCTCAGCCAGTATCGTTGAAAACACAAGATGCTTCAAAAGGCTCCGATGATGTGGGACCCCGTGAGGGAGCGTCATAGGGAGTCTATGCCACTTGTGTGTGTGAGCAATACTCGTGCTGCAGTCGTTAGACCATTGTCCTCCAGTCCCTCCAACGCCGGGACGGAGCGATATGCATGATTTTCGCCGGCCCAGGCTACGTTTCACAAGGTTGTGTGTGTGTGTGTGTGTGTGTGTGTGTGTGTGTGTGTGTGTGTGTGTGTGTGTGTGTGTGTGTGTGTGTGTGTGTGTGTGTGTGTGTGTGTGTGTGTGTGTGTGTGTGTGTGTGTGTGTGTGTGTGTGTGTGTGTGTGTGTGTGTGTGTGTGTGTGTGTGTGTGTGTGTGTGTGTGTGTGTGTGTGTGTGTGTGTGTGTGTGTGTGTGTGTGTGTGTGTGTGTGTGTGTGTGTGTGTGTGTGTGTGTGTGTGTGTGTGTGCGTGTGTGTGATTCACACACATGTTTACCTAGTCACGACCAAGACAGTTTCTGAAAAATGATACGCACACATCAAATGTTTCTAGTAAACACAATTCTTGAGAATTCGGTACTCATGTACAAATCTTGCCACAATCGACAAAGAAGCGAATCTATTGTGCATTGAGCACACGCTGACATGGAGATCACCTTTCTCCTGGAGTCAAAGTGGTGAGCTCTACTGCTGCTGCATCCTACGCTACTTTCTACCTGCAAAGCAAAAAAAAAAAATATCTCTCTTACTGCCAAAAATGGTCTTCCTGAATCAGCTTGACGTCCGGTACACTACACGCCCTACCCCCAAAAAAAAAAAATCGAAACGATCACTAAAAACTAAAAGACACACACAGAAGAACTGTCACCGGTCACTTAACTCACCAGGTCCATTCTTTGTGCCCGCAACACGCACCGACGTCTCTCTCGCCTCTTTCCTTACCTGAGCCTCCTGAATCATCCCGACGTCGTTAGCTCCGTCCCCGATGGAGAGGGTCACTGGTTTCGGCACCACGCCCCTCTTCACAAGCCGGACGATCAGCCGTTTCTGCGCCGGGCTCACCCGGCACGCGATGACGCTCGTGCACATGCTCCCCAGCGTGAGAAGCATGCGCTCTGCCTCGGCGTTGCCCAGGACGTGCGCCTGGAGGGAGGGAGAGGTAGGACATAAACCACGAGACATGCGCACATGGGCCTCTGGTTATCATCCGTCGTAATCCACCATCGACCATCCACCCTCCACTATCTATCATCCATCACCCATCCGACCAAAACCAGGGAGGGGAAAGGTACGAAAACATGAGACATGAAAATCATGGGGTCACATACATCATTTCTGCTGAGGCTTGTCCATCATACGTCCGGCGATCAATAGGGGAGGGTGAGGCATTAAACCGTGAGACATCACGGGATCACCGAAGGTTTCTGTCATGGGGAGGGTAAACTTTTGGGATCGTTATCCATCATCCACTGCCAAAACACGGAGGGCAAGAGATAAACCGTGAGACACTACCGTTACATCGCCCATGATTTCTGCTATGGTTTTCGGGGTGTCCACTGGCACGAGCCCGTGGGCCTGGCTAGCATCCATCATCCATCAATCGCAGCGAGGGAAGGGGTAAGATCGAGGACCATGAGACACTAAAGTGTGGGGTCTACTTTTGTCATTTATGTTGAAGACGCAAACCCTGGGATCACGTATATCAGTTCCAGCAAGGTGTACGGGGGTCTGTATTGGCACACGTGGGGGGATTACCGCGCAAAGCCGCCGTTGTCCTTCATGCCGCGAACGACAACAACATCAAGCGCGATAGACAACTACAAATTTCTTCCTCACTTTTGTAGAATCTTTCGAACGGTATTCTACAACACGAAAAAAGAACCCCATATTTTTCCGATATGAAGTGCTCGCTGTCCCTGTCTCTCGCCCTCTCCTCCGCCTGCCCAACCATGCACGCAACCAAAACCACCCCCCGAAAAAAACACAAACCAACCCCCCAAAACCCAACAAATATCTCACCAAGCTAGGCCCGTCCAGCACCAGCGCCAGGGAGTCTGCCGTCAGCTCCGAGATCTGCGGGGCCCCCTGAGGCTGCTCCAGCAGGGGGGTCGGCAGAGTGGCCGCGCCGTCCTCCTCCATGGTGGCCACGCCTTCCGTCCGATTGCGATCCCTCATGGACGACGGGGCGGAAAGGCCACCCCCACCCCCACCCCCGTGCCTTCGAGATCTTCTCAGGAGACCCAGGGGGTTTTGCTTTACCTGCCAGCAATACATGCAGGGGCATTGCTTTTTCTTTGATATATATACATGTATATATATATTTTTTTTGAAAGGGGTGCAGAGGTCGGTTGTTGGTTGCAAACGATGGTTGCAGTATGTAATGCAGTCCGCAAGATTTTCTCTTGATTTCTTGGGGGGGAGAGGGAGAGGTTGTTGGTGATTGGTTGGTTGTCTGGTTTCGAACGATGGTTGTAAGATGGAATACAGTACGCAGAAGAATCGTTTTTCTCAAGGGGGGGGGGGGGGGG